GAGAAGTCTTTCTATGTTGCCGAGTCTACACTTAAACTCTGTGCTTAGGCAATTCTTCCATCTCACTGTCTCGAGTAGTTGACTTCTTTTTCATTTTCAGTTTTATCATAATTAAAATTTGCACATTAATAAACCTATTTTTACCATCCAGTTATTGTGAGAACTGAATGAGTTAAGATGTGTAATGTTCCTAGCATACACCTAAGAAAAATATAGTTTTAAACACATTGGGTTGAATGCAAGCTACTAATATTTTCTTCCAGCAATCAGTCAAATATAAATAACAAAACCATAAGAATCTACTGGAGAGGAGAATAGCAAAAGGCCAGATAAGAGATGAAACAGAATTATTTCTGTGAATGAGTGGAAAACAATTCTATATTACGAAGTTCCCAGCTGTCCTTTTTGAAAACATCCTTTATCAGAAATTTGTATGAAAATACAGGAGAGAAAACAATTTATACATGAAAAATTGAAATCTGAATTTTAACTAAAAACCCAATGAAGTGTCAGTATTCAGGAAATTGCCCACGTTGGTCATGATTTTGTCACTTCATTTTTAAAGTTAATTCTGTTAGTGTTACAGAGAAAATTACCTGACTTTGTTCAAAGATTGGATTGGCTTATCTTTAAATCTTTACAATAGTGTTTGATCAGAAATAATTAAATTAAATGTTAAATGCCCAGTCTCCAACCAATAAATGAAAACAATGTTGTATTTATTATTAAATGTTAGTAAAATTTTTTAATATACAGAAAAATAGAATTTAATAATCATATACTTGTTAACCAGAATTAGTAAATGTGTTATTTGGTCATATTTACTTCTGATTTGTCTTCTCTTAAAGAACTAAAGTATTTCTAGAAATACAGTTAAGATCCTTTTAGAGCTTTTTGTTTACCCTTGAAAGCAACCAATGATACCACCTATTTATGTATCTATAAACATATTGACATAAATGCCATACTAAATACACTCTCTTGTTCATTTAATCCTGAGGTTCACTTTTCTTATTCACCAAAACTTAAAAATCACAACAACACCAAGTGTTATCAAGGATGTGGGAAAGAAATTTGGTAATATCTATTGTTACAGCACTTCTGAGAGTTTATCTTAGAGAAATTATTGTACATGAAGACAAAATATAATTTAGAAGAATGTTCATTTCAGCATTGTTTGTAACAGTGAAAAACTAAAACAACCTGAATGCCTACCAGTAAATAAATGGGGAATAAATTACAGTATAAGATAGTCTACAGAGAATATACCAATAAATTGAATTAATTACCTCCCCCCACCTACTTAGTTTATATTTTCCTGTAATAGCCTACTAAGTGCTTAGTTTTATCTACACTGTTCACTACAAAATGGTGGGAGAGGTGACTGAGAGTTGATTTTAAACAGATTTTATATATTTTGAGTTGGTTTTATAGTTTGGAATGACGTATACCCAAAATCTAGTTATATCTGCATTGTGAAGGAGTGATATAATCACCCTTCAGATGGATGTAAATTATCAGGAGCAAGAAAATATCCTTCAGCCCCCACCCCCACAATTCTTGGTCTTTCTCTGTTCTTCACAAGGTGTCTCTCATTGTTTTTGTTTTTCTAATTCAGAGAATCCTAGGAATAACTTCTTTTGACATTTCCAGCCCTTGAATTACAAGCTTTATGATAAAAAAGGGAATCATGATATAGATGGTTAATACTACCAACAGAAAGTGAGATTTTCTGTAGATAGCTAATATTTATCTTAAAATTCTTAATGGTATTAGAACTACTACATATTTATGTATCTTGTGTTTACTATGTAAACACTAATTGATTAATTTTAATGCAATGTGACAGAAATATGATGGAGTACATTTTCCATTTTTACTAGATACAGACTAACAGACTATAATGTATTACTTTATTTGCCAAATCATTTTAGAATAAAACTTTTAATATAGGGAGGCTAGATGTGGAGAAAGGGCTATGAAGAAGAGATAAAAGCATTTCTCACCAGGGTCATTGTTTAGACTTCCTGAAGAGAAAGAATCAGAAGTATAAGCGTATTTGCATAGGTTTCTGAAAGATGGAGTAGAGCTTGTATGTAGCTCATCCAGATTAAAATGAACTGTACTTGGTGCTTTGTGTGTGAGTAGTCCAAAAAAAGTAAAGAAACCTTTATTGCCCTAGGTAGAGAGCTGCAGCCTAGTTTTTGTAGTATCTGTAAATGAGAGAAAGGGGTTTCCTGTACCTCCTTTCATAATTTCTGTTTTATGAAATAATTTTAAATTGTGCATATCAAGTCTAGGAGAGCTTAGAATTGGAGAAATTTCATTACTTCATTTTGAGACTAAGAATAACAGACTTAGGGAAGTGTGTTTTATATGCCATAAACTTACATAAAATGAGCAAAATCAAAATTAGCGAATGAAGTGATAAATATGGGTTTAGCAGCTATCCTTTCTTACAAATTCTTAAAATAATAAAATTTTAATTGTCAAAAAAGAGAAATGACAAAAAAGAGAAATCTTTTTTTCTCCTTTTAGTAGGTGTTAGCACTCTACCAATGTTTAATAATACAAATGAGTAAGTCAAGTTCCTGGACCTTGGAATTCATTTCATGGAAGAAAAGATTTGTAAATCAGTAATTGCTTGATAGTGTCGTAAGTGTTATAGGACGCTGTCCACGAAGGGAGACAAAATAAGCATCTTCTGCTTGGGCAGGGGATCTGGGGCTTTAAGAATGAGTATAAGTTTGACAAGTGGAATAGTTAGAGCATTCTAGGCAGAGGGAGCAATACTGCAGTTTGAGAGGCATAACACTGCATAGCACGTTTGAGGGAATTTAAGTCCTTAGATACATGAGACGTGAGGTTTTGAGATGAGTTTGAGGCTAAGCTGAAAATTAAACTGGATGGATAAACTGGGACAAGAAGCTGGCTTTAATAATTTTTCAAGATACTATGTGCCAGGTACATTGCTTCTCAATCTCCCCCTTTTACTCTTCTAATCTATGGACTGTAACCTCTAGCCACACCGAGTTTTTCCAGTTCTTTGTAATTCTATTCAGCAAAAATTTTGGAATACTTACTGTATGCCAGGCACTATTCTAAGCAGCAGGGATATACTGATGAATAAAATATGCATGGTCTGTGCCTTCGCATAGATTATAGTCTGTGGCTAGCACTGGTAAGTGTATGAGCAACTAGCATTACAACCTGCTAAATACTATAGGTCATGTTAGTAGTATAGTAACCTATAATGACGATCAACCAACTCTAAGTTGTGTCCTAAGTGACTGATGAGTAAGATTTGGCGAGAATTAGGAGTGGGGGTGGGGCAGGAAGAGAGGAGTAGGAATCGTCTGTCATCTAGGCAGTGGAAAGCAACTCCCAAGTGTGAAAGCAAATGACCAGAAATAGCATAGCACTTTCCCTGCTCCACCTTTAGCTCCTTTAAAAACCTAAATTGAAATCATGTCAGTCTTCTGCCCAGAATCCTCCAGTGGCTTCCTGTCTCTGTCAAAATGAATGCAAATTTCTCACTACGGCCTTGTGTAACCTCTTCCTACATTTCTGATCTTTCACTCTTGGCCTGGCTTACTTCATTTCAGCTACCCTGGCCTTTGCTATTCCTGTGACATTCCAGACATAATTCCGTATCACGGCCTCTATACAGACTGTTCTTTCAGAAACTTTGTCCCATGTATCTCTGCTTGGTTGGTGACCCTAACCTTATTCAGGGACCTGTTCAAATCAAGAAACCTGCACTGATAACACTGTATAAAACAGCAGCGTCCTCAGCCCTACCCTTATTACTCTATCAGCTTATTCTGTGTTATTTTCTCGGATGGCACTATGGTAATTGCTGGTGGTTGTGGTGGTGTATGAATTATCCCATTAGATCCTAAGCATTATGGCAATAAATACTTTGTATGACTTTTTTTTTTTTTTTTTGGCTGCTCTTCCAATGCGTAAAATAGTGCTTTGCACATAGTGAACACTCAGTAGATTATTGTTGAAGTCCATATAGGAGGCTATAGCTAGGATATTTTGTTTTATTTTTCATCTTTATTTCTGCCCAGGAACATACATATTTCGTGGATTGATTGTGGTTACATTTGTAAAATCCCGATGAATTTTAAGCCAGTTGAATTGGTATATTTTTAAACATTTTTAAATAATTTTTCTTATAGCTAAAGCTTGTAGTTTTTTAGCTAACAATAAAAACATTCACGGAATTCTTCACTCGGTTTTAAATTCATAGTTTATTTTTATCCTTTTTGATCCTGAAGCATGCCAGATTAACAATGTGTCTGAATCATTGAGGTTTTATTTATGTAAATGTTGTAACTACATTTTAATAACAAATGCTTAGGCAGTTATTTTATAACATTTTTCTAAAGTTGCATTATTATAAGTTGTATATTTAGTCATGGATAGAAACACAATATATTATGTAGGCAATGATTTAACTATTGTACAGTTCAATAATTTAAAACTAAAATTTTACACTGAGTTTTAGAAAATACATGGTTATACAGAGTCACAGTTTACCTTTTGCTAGTCCTAGTAAATGCTAATTATTTAATTATCTTACTCATTATCACATTTTCTATTCTCTCCGTTTTGTACAACTTACATCACTCCCACCTTCCCAAAGCATTATCTGGGCAGCTTTGAATGGAAAACTGTTATGAATGAGCAGTCAATGGCTATTCACTACAAAATGGCGGAGAGGTGACTAAGTTTATTTTAGACAGATTTTACATCATATGTTTAGTTAGTTTCTTCCTATCACCTGGCAATGCCAGCTCCTCTTCTTTTTTTCCTATATAGTGCCTTCCCAGTCATACCGTGTTCCTAAAACCATTTAAGATGAGTAGGTAGTGGCCACACATCAAATACTAGTGTTATGAATTAGTAGATCAACAAAATATGAAATATTAAAATGTAAGGATTGCCTATCTCTTGCAAATATAAAGTTTTTTCTCTTGCAAAAATTATAGGGGATGGAGTGTTAGATCTCTCTACAAAGAAAACCAGCATAAAATCTGAAGAGTCATCCATATGTGATCCTTCTTCTGAAAATTCAGTGGCTGGGTAAGCAATATCTAGGAAATACAATTTAATATTAATATAAAATTATCTCTGCAGAGAACTCTTAATACTATTCTGAGTAGTATTGACGTATATAGTTTTCCTCCAGAATTTTTGTCACTCATAAGTCTCTCTCTCATACCTTTCATCTTGTCCTTTCTCTTTCTTTTTTTATTCTTTCTGTTAAAGAAAAGTTATCAGAACAATCACCAAACTTTAGTTCATGTTACTAAAATGAACTACCACCTTAATCATAGAATACAAACTAAGAAGCAGGACAAGTAAGAGGATATTAAATTAAATACTCAGGAGGCATTTTTAAGGGAAATCTGTAATTTATTTTTTAAAACAATGAAAAAATTCTAAAAGTACAGTACTTACTAATTATTAACGCTAGTTTATAGTGTTTAGATTTTTTATTGCACTTTAGATGTGGTGGCAGACTACTTAAATATATCTAGTAATCACCACAAAAAGTTCTTTCATGTTTTGAAAACTATCATTAATCATTAAATAAATAATTAGTAGTGAAATGCTGTTCTGTTGGATTTTTGGATTTTTTTTACAACTTTTTTGCATCTTCCCATTAACTAACTGCACAGGAAGCTTTTTTGTCACATTTAAATCTTATAGGTAGACTAATTTGTTTCAACTCTGGCTATAGTAGTATTTGAGTCACAAGGTATAGTAAGTTTTCTGTCTGAGAAACTTTGAACATTACAGTGATACATTTGAAATAGAAGTGACATTTATAATATCTAAAATTAAATTGTTTTATTCAAATATAACTTATTTACTTGTTTCAAGTTTTAAGTTGTTGTCTAGAGAAAAATTAGTTTTGTGGAAATATGGGATGTTTGTGTTTGGAAATATTCCTGCTGCTACAAATTTCCTTTAAAGGGGTTGACTCTTTTATTACTTGTTTAGCGGTAACGTCACGTTTGTACTAACAAAAACTCCTTTAGGGTTTGGGTACTTTTTATAATGGAACTCTAATTGTACAAGTAAAATTTATAAGTGTTGCTCTGCAAGCATCTGTCAGAGGAATAGCAACATCATGAGAATATTTTTACAAATACTGAGTTAGGATTTTATGTTCTTGGAAGGTCTGCCTGTTGAGGCCACCGTATCATTGACACATTGTCCTACCAGGACTGTAGCGTTTGCTTTGATAAGGAGTAACTACTACATCTCACAGACTTAAAAGTGTCATAAGCAGTGATGTTACCTAAGCAAGGAGTATAATAAAGGAGTGGACCCTCCCCTTCCATAGCTGTGTGAGAGTCTCTCATGCATCAGTTTACCATCGTTTCATTCCATCCATCCAGGAGACTACACAGAAACAGAGAGGAATATGTGGAAAGAAGTGCTGAGTTTGCAGATGGTTTGCTCTCAAAAGCTTTGAAAGACATTCAGTCTGGAGCACTGGACATAAATAAAGCAGGCATACTTTATGGCATACCTCAAAAAACTTTACTTCTTCACTTAGAAGCCTTACCAGCAGGGAAGCCTGCATCTTTTAAAAACAAAACTCGAGATTTCCATGATAGTTATTCATATAAGGACAGTAAAGAAACTTGTGCAGTGCTGCAAAAAGTAGCCTTGTGGGCAAGAGCTCAAGCAGAGCGCACAGAAAAAAGTAAACTCAATCTACTTGAAACCTCAGAATTAAAATTCCCAACAGCTTCCACTTACCTCCATCAGCTAACTCTACAGAAAATGGTTACTCAATTTAAAGAAAAAAATGAAAGCCTCCAATATGAAACTTCAAATCCTACTGTACAGTTAAAAATTCCTCAGCTTCGAGTAAGTTCTGTTTCAAAATCACAACCTGATGGTTCTGGTCTGCTGGATGTTATGTATCAAGTTTCCAAAACCTCTTCAGTCCTAGAAGGATCAGCTCTCCAAAAACTGAAAAATATACTGCCTAAACAGAACAAAATAGAATGTTCTGGGCCTGTAACTCACTCAAGTGTTGACTCTTACTTTCTACATGGGGACCTCTCTCCTTTGTGTCTTAATTCTAAAAATGGAACAGTTGATGGAACCTCTGAAAATACTGAAGATGGATTAGATCGGAAAGATAGTAAGCAGCCCAGGAAAAAACGTGGCCGCTATCGGCAATATGATCATGAAATAATGGAAGAAGCTATTGCAATGGTAATGAGTGGAAAAATGAGTGTTTCCAAAGCACAAGGAATTTATGGGGTACCTCACAGCACTTTAGAATACAAGGTAAAAGAAAGATCTGGAACACTGAAGACTCCTCCGAAGAAGAAACTACGATTACCAGACACTGGGTTATATAATATGACAGATTCAGGGACTGGCAGCTGCAAAAACAGCAGCAAGCCTGTATAGATTACTTGTTAGGAAAATGTGTGTGTGTGTGTGTGTGTGTGTGTGTGTGTGTGTGTGTGTGTGTTTGCGTGTGTGTATGTGCACAGGTGTGTATTCGTGTGTCAATATACACACATGTGGGAATTACATATGCTCACTCTGACAGGAGACATGAAATTTTACAGTTCAAAAACCACTTACATGCCTTTTGAAAAAAAGTTTTATTCAGGGTTTTCACTGTGGACAGAATTATATAGTTGCTTACTTAATTCTGATAGTTTGTATTTAATCCTTGTATAAATAGGTGAAAAAGATTCAGGTTTTCTTTAGTAGTCAATAGCATAAAGCGTTGTGGGAAAATGAGTAATTGTCAAGTGAAACATTTTTATTGGTGAAAGACCATTCCAGCCATTCAGTTGAACCATCTTATAATGGAAATATGATATTAATAGTTTATAAACATTCTATACAACATACTTACAGTCGTTGTATGTATGTCAAACAACCAATCAAAATTTAAATAGACAACTATCTCCATACTAAGAAAAATTAATATATACAGTATTAGTACATTACAGTGCATTCTGTGAAATACAAAATGCACTCAAGTGCATCCACCAGGAATAGAAAAGAAAACCTTAAAGGATATGCATAATGAAATTTAATATTTATCATTTAATAGTTGATTTAGCAAGAAGTTGGGGTTTATAAGGTATATACTTTAAAAAACTGACAAATAGTTAACCCCAGCAGCTATAGAACCCTTTAATATAAGATGGAGTACTAAGAACAAAAAATAATTTAAATTTAGTTATTAAAATAATTTAATTTTGTTTTTCATTTGAAAAATAAGCTAATGTGTAAGATTAGAAAAGAAAGTTGGAATGCAACTTAGAGCATGTTTATAATGTGCACAGAAAAAGCTTGAGAATGATAATTTTGGTTTAAATGTGCTGGTTAGTTGATGTTATGACTACTTTAAATTTTAAGGATTGTGACACACTCCTATTGAAAAACCTCAGTGTAACTTTAATATATTTGCTGCTGTGACATTTCAAAACATTTTCAGTTTATCAAAATGAATTGCAGATTTCATTTTGGTGGGCGATACATTATCATTTTGCTAATAACCAAATTTGCAGTTTGTTCAGGGTCTTGAATAGATTTACAAATATTTAACACTGAAGCTGTTTTGAACTTTCAGTAATGTAAACTCTCTACTAATTGGGTAGTTAGAAGCTGGGCAGTGCATTTTAACTTTTACTAGACTCATAAGAGAGACTGTTCATTTTTACATAGCAGTTTTAAAATATGAGTCAAAGTATCCTTGTTGGATTTATGGAGTATGCAACTGTAGTGGTAAAATGTTATAAAGCATATGCCTTCATATAAAGAATGGGGATTTGCTTTATGTATTCAAAATTCTCTGAGTGCCCCCTTTCTCTGTTAAAATTCAGGTTCTGATCATTTTTCTAAGCCAGTTTTCCTAAGTCCAAAAGGAGTACTTTCAGCTGAATTTAAAAAATAAGTGCACCTTGTCAAATACTTGTGTTTTTACACTTGTGTTTGTGTGTATTTAATAATCGCATATATGTATAATACTAAAGAGATTTTCAGCTATTACATTTTAAAACTGCTTACCTGTTTAAAGAAACTGAAGAGTGAGAAACTACACAACCAAGCAGTTATTTGGTCTCTGAGATCTATACTGAACCCTCTTCAGCTATTAATGTTACCTGCACACTAGGATATGAATCCTCTTTTCTTTTCACCCCAAGAAAATATTCATAATAGATTACAGAACAGCAGATGTCAGGGTCATCTTTCTTTTTAAAGAATTAAGCCATATTTTGTGAGGGCCAGAACTTGGATTATTTAGTATATTTCTCCCTTCCCCCACTGAAAAACAAAGTTAAAGATAAAATACATGTTTCAAAACAATTTTATTGACCTCTTTATACAGAATTTTACTTGGAAAACTTTGGGGGCTTGAATGCATTACGTAATATTTATATTGTATTGAGCTTTTTTATTCCTCACACTATATTTACATTAATAAATTGATTGAGAAGTTTATAGTAAAGGGAAACTTACAGAACACTTTTGTATCATTTAAAAGATGACCTGACCAAAAACTTTACAGGATTCATAAATCAGGGATCATTTTGCTATTGACTTCACCATAATCAGTAGTTTTATAGGTAATATTATAGTTAATTTGCAGCATTTTAGTACTTGTATTATTTATTTTGGGTCAGAAATAGTAAATTAAAATATTTTTTGATAGTTTATAGGTAATAATCAACCCATAACTTAAAAGAAACAAAATGTTTCTATTATTGAGTTAACACTTTGATTATACAAACTAGGAAAGGCAGGGAAATTCCCCTTCTCCCCAGTGATTCTATTAAGATGACCTTTATGTTAAACATTCAAAGTACTTTATGAATTTAGTTACCAGTTACTATTTATTAATTGACAATTTTCTGAAAAATCCAGTTTCAGCAGACTTTTAATGAAGGTGAAAGCAACCCCTATGTGCTTTCTACTTATTTGAATGTTCCTCAAGTATTTTATATTTAAAAAAAAAAAAAAGGAAAAGAAAAAACAGTGCCTCTGTTTTTAGAAAACTACTGCTCAGTAAAGTTGTTTAAACCATTTCTGGTAGCTAATGACAATTTTATATTAAATTGTATACTAACTTTAGTGAGACTGATTTTTTTAGTTGTTTACAGTACAAATACTTGTATTTGTTTTTTAATTGCAGTATTTCCATTGTCGCAGTAATTTAGTAAAACTCTGTGGCTGCCTTGATTTTGACAGATTTTGTTAATATAAACTGATTGTTAGGCAATTAGTTATATTTATGCATAAATCAATTGCACTATAATTCATGAATTATTTATTACAATATTTTCTAATGAATTCATGTATCTGTCTTGTGTTGTAAATGTACTGTAATTCTGTTCCTACTTTGTGTTGTTATATATCTAAATCTGATTGTATGAATTTTAATTGTTCAGTTAACGTGTTTCTAGGTTGTAATTTGTAGTAAAGCACTTCAATGCTTTTGCACTTAAATTTACAACACTGTTGGTGTGTGATTGATTTACTCATTCAGTAAAAGAAAAAAGAAAAGAAAAAAGAAAAAACTGACTACACTGACTTCTTTGATTCACTTTAGGAAGCAGTTTTATTCAATATAGTATTAGAAACTTACTTTTTCTGAAGAAATAGTCCAACAAGTTTCTGATGGGCAAAATGGATAGTAGCATACTAAAAATAGGCAGGATGTTTGGTTTATAAATCAAACAGGAAAAGGTTAGAAAACTTTAACATTAAAAGCAAAGGATCTATGAAAAAAATACAATTTTAGAACCTTATATAATCACCTGAGAATAAATTCTAGACTGGATACTTATATGTGCATTCAACTATTATTTACTCATTACTAGGTTTTTTTTAAAGATCCTAATACGCAAGAAATAGGGGAAAATGTTTGAAGCCAATTAAGCGGATTGTGAAGTTCTATAATTTGAGATCTTAGTTATCTAATATCTGATACATAAGATATAATCTAATATCTGACTTATAAGATATAATCTAATATCTGAGTATCTATACCTTTATTAAGCTGTTCTTACAGCATTAGATGGGAGTTACTGGCCACCATAGTATTTTTGAAATTCCATTATTAATAAACTGAATAAGAAAACTCTAAAAGATAGATTTGCTTAGAATGTCAGGGATATAAAAACTAGTCATTAGTTTTGATTATTTATACAGCATACCTGACTTCATTAACAGAAAAAAATCTTTGAGCATTTCAGGAAGAGTTAAGAAAGGTTATTGATCTTTAACATACAGTATAGCATATTTTTCCAAGAAACGTGTAAATTCTCTCTTTATTAGGCCATAACATCACTGTAGAAACTACTAAAGTGCATCTCTCACAACATTCTGGGTTTTCCTTTGCGTGTGTGAAAATTAATCATTGTTAATTTGCTGGGAAATAATATAATTATGTCTTAATCTTTGTTAGTCATCATTTCTTCCTGCCCTTACTCTCTACATATATTTTTTAAAACTATCTCATTGAATCCTGGGAGTTAATTGCATCATTTATACTCCCAACCATGACAACATTTATTAAAAAAAAATATTTTTCAAAAGGAAAGGATACTGGGGTCATGTCCTATCTTCATATTTCTAGAGGCAGCAGTGGACTTTAAAAGTTTTATTGTAATTTCACATCTCTTCTCACTTTGGTAGCTTCTTTATGTCAAGTCACTAGTTTTTGTGAAACGTTGATTGAATCTAGTAAAGTCATCTTTTTCCCAGAAAATTTTGATCAGATGTTTAAAATTTGCTTTATTTTTGCTTCTTAAACAACATAATTTTATAAAATATAAGTGAAACATTACATACTTATCTGTGAAACAGGCTCTACCAGTTTTAGGCAGCAAAATAAAAATATTCCATTTCCTGTTTTAAAGTAAACCTGTTACAATTTTTAATATAGATGAGCATAATAATTCTGTATTTAAACAAAAATACATTGTTCAGTAGTAGTTCATAATCAGCATTATTCCAACCTCAAATAAAATTTCTAGAAGTCAGAAACTAGTAACAACAACAAATGTAACAAACCATAAATGAAAGGCAATTTTCATGTACAGAGTTTGGTGATATGTTTAATCAAAATAGATACTTTTCTGAAACAGAACTCTTTAAATATATTTTATTCTTCCTGCTGCTGGTATTGGAATTAAAAACAAAATTTGTAGACTTCTATATTGGTTGATAAGCAATCCCGGTTCTTAGTTAAAGTTAGATGTATGTTAGTTTCTGCAGTGGGCCATTTTCCAGCATTTGAAACTTAATAATTAGGTAAGTAATGCCTTTAGTCTTTATGAAATTACTTTAGTATTTAACATCAATTAAAAATAGATTTCATTTTTAAATAGCTAACACCTGCAGCTTAATCTTAAAATAGACATTCTGTTTACATGAAATCTAAATCCCTTAATTTTCTTGTGATTATGGAAAGCTCTCTTTCATTAATTATTTTCACTGTCTTGAAAAAAATATCTATTTTAAATAAAGATTGTACTCCTACATTTTATTTTCCTTACTTGCACTAATGTAGACTGATAATTATGTATCAGAATAACTTATAAAATGACTACTTTATAAAAATTTTAACTTTCTGAAGCACTTTCCATTAAATATTCTTAATACATTCAAAACATTAGACATTATTAATATATAAATGTAATCATATGTATAATCATCAGCTGTTATACTGCAAAAATAGGGCTTTGCTTTAACTTATACTTTGTCATAGGAAATAAATTATCATCAGTGCTTCATTATATATTTTGCTAAACAATAATCAAAATGCCATTATTGCAGCTTTCTAGGAGTCAGGAGTCCAGCAATACCAAAATATCTTTTTTCAAATTCTGTTAAAGTTGTAACTCCTTATAGTGATATTTTTGCTGCAATTCATTTTTTGTTTGATTTTTATTTTTAGTTCAACTGTTGATGCAAAATCAGAGGAAGCTACTAAAATGGAAAAAAGAAAATCAGCATTAAGCAAAGTTTTGGAATCTTTGTGCATACATCACCAGCAACAAGTTTTGGCTATGTTGAAATTTCTAGTCCAAGAGCAGAACGCTGCTTCTCTTTGCTGTTGTAATACATCATGTGTTGTGTCTTCAGAATCTCAAAAGCCCTTAATCGAAGATGATTTATATGGTCTATTCTGTAGTTGTGAATATAGGCTGGCAGAAAGAGGGTGTTTACAAAATGAAAAACAAAGCCCTGGTTTAGAGCCTCTGCCAGTCTGTATTAAAGATTTACATTGTTTATCTTGCCAAACTGTAACTGTTGAACACATTAAGACAGTAGTGAATAGAGGAATTGCAGACAGTTATAATTCTCACAGGTGCTGTTCTGGACTGTTACCGAACAATCACTCTGCAAAATCAGCTTTTAGTAGTCCTCTTTTGTCAAAGGAACTATGTGATCTTTCAGTCACTCTTAAAGATGCCTGTAGATCTCGAAGTCCCTCACCCCCACCATTATCGCCTATAGAAACTGAAGGATTTGAAAAATTGAAAGACGCCATCTCAGAGATTTCATCCTTAGAAAGTAACAAACTTGAAGCAAACATTAACCAGCCTCCATCTCTCACACCAGCAGAAATAAGCAACACTAAGAGTGATCATGAAGATAAAATACTTAAAACTAAAAAATCCCATAACTCTTATTCTTTACTCTCAAATGACAGCAATAATTCTACTATAAATCATGAAAAAGGTGAAACTGCTGTAATTTTTCAAGATTTAATGGATCGCATTAATGAAAAACTAAAATCAATAGAAACCACGGATATGACAAGCCTTGTGAAATTATCTAGCAGTGATTGTAATACATATAATGATTTAAAATTGGGAAATTTCATAACGTCTCTCTTGCATAATGCAAAAGCTAGTGATTACAGTTTTATGGAATTATTGAGTCAACATGATAAAAAGGTAGAAAATAAAATTATTCAGACAAGATTTCGAAAGCGTCAAGAAACTTTACTTGCAATGCGCAACTCCTCTGATTCACCCATGTTTAGAAGGCAGTCTTTACAGATAAAAAGAGAACTTGCTAGTCTTGATGAAAATTTTACAAGAAGAAAATACACTGAAAAAAGTTCAAGGAAATTGATGCACAATGATGAGACATCTGCATCAGACAAAGGAGAATTCTGTCATGACCAAGGGCCTTCTTTACAAAATTCTAAAAACCTTCAAGATAAAAATCATGCTGAAACATCATTTTCACCAAATTATGCATTACAGTCACTGCAACTACCTCTTCATAGTTTAGAAACTAACTTGTCTTTCAATGCATTTTCAGAAAGCTTTAAAACAACTTCCACTGAGAAAATGAGCATAAGAAAGCCACAAGAGAAATCTGCAGATGGAAAAAATTCTTTGCAACACCATAGGCAAAATCCAAAATTAGGAAATACTCATGCTCTTTTGAGAAATGATGTTTCTGGACTTTTGAGCAGAACTAAACGAAATATTGTGCCGCCAGGGTGGTATTCTATATATGTAACAAATAATTATGTTTTTAAAAAATCCCCTAAAGCCAAAAAGGTATCCAAATCCACAACAAAAAAAGACCCAGTGAAAAATATTCACATTGAAAGCTCACACAATGTAGACCTAAACAAAATTGCGATGAATTCTAATTTACAAGTTGTTGTGGAGCGTTTGGAAGATACAATAAATATAGCCCAAAAATCCTGGAATAATCAGCCATTATCAGAAGGATATAAAGCATCCAGAAAATTGATAGAAATTGATGGTAAAGACCAAAATGCTGACAGAAATATGACTCTTACTCTGAATAGAGTGACATGCAAAGAACAGAGCTTATCAAAATCTGTGGTAGCATCCAGTAATATCAATAGTCACTGTATGCCTACAATGGATTTGAATAACAAAAGACTTGAAAATTCGAAAAAATCATCTATTTTAGATATGGGTAGCTTGATTTCCAGTGTTGAAAATGTACAAGCAAAATATGAAGGTGTTGAAAGTTCATCTTTTTCCAACTGTTCTAGTCCTATCAAACTCATGTTTTTATCTGAGGTTAAAAGTAGTGAAGGAGTCAAATATACTTTAACTTCCGTTGGTACTTCCCAGTCAAATCTTCCTTCTGAAAAACATACAACCCATCATGTAATTGAAGGAAAAACAGAAACAAATGAGGCTATCTCAAATGCGAACTCTGAAAATTATCACTCTAATCATTATGGTACTGATAATCTTCAAAGAGAACTAAACATATTCAATCATGCAAAAGAAACCATAGGATCCTCTACAATGTTTATAGGTGATATAAATAGTGATAAGCCACAAGAAGAATCAAAGGACAATTCGAGCAGTGCTGTTGATTCATCTTTTAAAAGAAAACCAGGTAGACCAAAAAAAATAGGACCCCAAGTTGTGAAACAGATTAAGCGACCAATTGGAAGACCTCCAAAGCCTAAAATTGACCAAACAGACATCACTAGTTGCCAAAATGAGTCCTTTAGTGCTGGAAGGAAAAGCCCAGAATCTCTCATATCAGAAGTAAAAGAAGGTATT